GGCCCACATGGCATTCATAGTGTTTGTATGTCGATGACATACTTCTGATCGGGAATGATATACCAAACTTGCAGTCGGTAAAGACTTAGTTATCCATTGTTTCTCGAAGGACTTAGGAGAGCAGCCTACATCTTTGGAATAAAGATTTATCGTGATAGATCGCGGTTGCTTGGCCTAAGTCGAGTGCATATATTGACAAAGTATTGAAAAGATTCAGTATAAGAATCTAAGAAAGGATTTCTTCCGATGTCGCATGGTGTTATCTCTCTAAAGATTGTGTCCTAGAACACAAGATGAGAGAGATAGGATGAAGAGGATCCCATTGCATCATAATTAGATCCATCATTATGCCATGCTATGTACTCGGATTGATGTCTCATGTGCTTTAAGCACTTGTAGTAGATATCAATCGAATCCAGGTGAGCATCATTGGATGGCTGTCGAGAATATTCTTAAGTACCTGAAAGGACTAAAGATATGTTCTTGGTTTATAGAGTGGAAGATGAGCTCATTGTAAGAGGATCAGTGATGCTAGTTTCCAACTGACAAAGATGATTATTGATCGCAATCAAGTTTGTATTTTGTCTCATGGGGGTGCAATGAGCTGGAAGAGCTCACAGCAAAGCACCGTAGCGGACTCTACAATGGAGACTGAGTATATTGCATTATCAGATGCGGCCAAGGAGTAATTTGGATTAAGAAGTGCGTAACCGAACTTGATGTAGTTTCCACGATTGTTGATCCAATAGACATCTATTGTGACAACAATGGAGCAATAGCTCAAGCAAGGGAACCACAATCTCATCAAAAGTCCAGACACATACTCAGACGATTACATCTCATCAGAAGAGGTTGAGAGGAAAGAAGTCAATCAATAAAGTGCACACTGATGACAATCTCGCAGATCCACTAACAAAGCCTCTATCGCAGTAGAAGCATGAAAGGCACTTGAATCATTTGGTATTAAATGCAGAATGATTGGCCATAATGCAAGTGGGATTGTTAGAGTAGATGCCCTAGAGCCAATCAATTATTGTAGAATTGTCTTTATAATAATGTTCATTGTTCAATAAAAGGCATTTTATATTAATCGTGTAAATCATCATTGTATGTATTGTATATGTCCTTAGAATGGTAGAACCGTGATGAGGGTATTAGGTGTTTCAAATCTTGATAGTGAAAACTCTATGCACATATGGTGGCCATTCTAAAACGTCCGTAGCCCTAGTATTATTCAGAGTAAGGGCACAGATAATACGATAAGCTATCATAGTGTTTAACGACCCTGTTGAAAGGCAGTGACTGATCTCACTTGGCAGGTTGTTTGGTGACAACCTGGTGCAACACATGGGTGCTTGCTATAGGCAAGTTCACTGGACTGACCCACCAAAGGATTCCATATGGATGGTAACCCCAGTGTCTATGGAACAAATCCTCTAACATGGTGATGCATGTGATCCTTAGACTTGATCACCAGAGCGCCTTGTGTACGATTGTGTAGTTTGACACTAGCCTACGCAGTTCTATCAGAGCTGTCAATATGATGGTGATTCTCTGCATCAAGGAGTATATCAAGACTATGGTGGATAGACAGAGATTCTCACTCCCGGGTATAGGAGAAGTTATCTCACGGCGCAATCATAAATGGCAATGACACTAAAACTGTGGCCACAGTGGGATTGAGTTGTTGCTCTATCCAAATTATTATTCAGGTCATTGGTCCAGTAACTGAATCCATAAATATCGGAATAACCGGGTTGACACTATTCTACACCCCGGTCTCATCGAGATAACGGTTGATGAAAGGATCGGATTGTACAATAACCATATTGACAGGTAGATGCTTCATTGACTCTGAATCTATCGGGTGGCCATGATGCCTTACTAGGAAACATCTTGGTCTATGTATAGTGAGATGATTAACTGGTGTATCGTGATACTACACATTGCCGGTATGTAAGGAGTCTACGGGTCACACGCATAGAAGTAATTTAAGAACCGGTTTATAAGAATATTGTTTTCGTCTTTTTAGGCGAAAAGGTATTTTGGTAATTTCACCGTGCATTAAATTTGCTGAGGTCATAGCCTTTATTTAATTTGTTAATTAAATTAAATAAGTGATTATATTTAAATAGTGTTTCCCATATATTTAAATGAATTATTGTTATTGTTAAATGTTAATATATGAAATATATATATTAATTGAAATAACAATAATAATTAAAATTAAAAAATATCTTAAAGGGGCTGTTTAGATACAATGAGTTGTTTGGTGTTGTGCCCCACCCATTTCATGAAGGAATAGGGTATAGTGCTGCACTATATAAGTGCACAACGTTGTGGAAAAAAAAAAAAAAAAAGATATAGATTCATTATTCATTAAAGAAAACTCCAGCCCTTTTCTCCTCTTCCCATGCCAGATTTATTTTGCTTGAAATCAAATTTTATTTGATTGCTTCTTGGTTCTTAAAGACTAAAGAGGATCTACAAAATCCATCTTTATGTCGTTAGAGTTATCTTCGTGTGGACTACGTTGGTTTGATCCTACACTTGGGTCGGTAGCGAATCTGTTCAGAGACAAACTTGGAGGAGCCTCCAAATGTGCGTATGATTTCTAAACTTCAAATGATTTTTCTGCAGATTCTTTATAATGTATAAACTGTAAATTTTGTGCCTGATCTTGGTTCTAAAGAACAGATCTATCATGTAAATAAATTCTATTTTCTGCTGCCATAGATGTCATTTCCTAACAGATTAGGGGTAGAATGGTCACTTTGCCCCTAAGGAAAATTCTCTAGAAACTTCTCAAGAATTTTAGCCAGTCTTTAGCCCCGGCAAAGTTTTCTTTGCCCCAGCAAAAATTCCAAGCTACGTTTGCCGTCGGCGAAGTCTGCAATGTTCCAACTTCGCCAATCCTTCACCAAATTCAAGGCAACCAACATTATTAAGATCATACAAACGTAACCAAGGGCAAACAAACAAAACTAAAGGCAAATAAGCATATTGAAGCTACATATCTCAAAGTGGGCGTTACAATTCCCCACCTTAGGGGATCAAATTATTTCAAGTACTTGACCCGTCATGTTTTATTGTCAAAGTTATTTTTAGGTCAATTATTGTCAAAAAAACCTCTCTAAGACATAGTTATTACATATTTGACTCATTTATTTTCAATTTATGACCATTAATTTAAGGGTGTGTTTGGTTGGGGGTTATCCCCCATTACTCAGGCAGTATCATCTTATATTATTTAGATTACCACGTTTGGTTGTCAATTAATATAATATTCTGGTAATCTTCCAAAACCAATAGTAATTACTGTTGGTTACATAGGAGATAATCTGATTATCTCCATTTTTTAGGTATTTTAAGATTACTTGGTAATATTAATTTTATTATAATTTTACTCTTTATTAATAAAATTTTTGGACAGTAATGCACTTGTTATCTAAACAATTTACAATAAATTTATGGACAATTTTAGTCTTATACTCAAGATTTTTAAGACAAAATTACACTTATACTTCAACCAAATTACCACAGCTACCCCTAGCCATCTAAGAGGACTGCTAGCCACCATCGTCAGCAGTCACCGAACCATGCGTCGGAAACGGCAAGATCTATTGTCGTTTCACTAGCAAAGATGTGGCCGTGAAATGACCATAAATCTAGTCATCAATGACCGCCTTTTCACGGCCAAATCTGTGCCTATTTCATAGCCACATCTTTGGCCATAAAGATCCATGTCTGGAAACGGCCTTCTCGGCACATGACCGACCAAATCTGATCGGCTGTGAGCTATTTTGGTGATTACCAACGGCGTTCGATGGTGGTGGCAACTTTTTTGGTTGCTAGGGTGTTTTAGCTAAATCTAAAATGTTGGGGTCAAATAATAAAAGACAAATTAATAATAATAATAATATTAAAAACAATAACCATTTATAATCTAACCCTAAATATAATATACCCACAAATTTATTCATTCCAACCAACATACATATATATATATGACATACTCACCAATTTAATCTTATCTAATCAAACATATTTTTAATAAGATTCTCAATAATCTTCAAGATTATCTATTTTCCCATTAATATAACATTCTCAATGATACAACTTTTCTTGAATCAAACATCCCCCGAAAGTATGTAAGTATGACAAAATGACAAATAAATATTGACTTAGTTGCACAAAGAAAAATATATGTTTAAAACGACATTCAAATATGAGACTCTCACATAACACATTAAAACGATTTAACAAGTTTATCATGAAATTATTAAGTGAAATATATTACATAAATTAACTTTTTATAAGTATTATTTTATTTAACTACTTTCATATTGTAAACGGAGAATTTTTTTTTTTTTTTTTTGGGTGGCATATTTTAAACAAGGTTTTTGAATTTCATTAGAAGGAATTCTACATATATTTAATAGGGTAGATCGGACCTTATACATCCCCCATAAACACTCCTTATATTCATTCTTCTAAGTATAAATATCATTAATTTGTGTAAATAATTAAAGTTTTACCTAAAATAACTTTATAATTAAAAATAAATCATAGCCCATAGAGAATTAACCGGTCAACATTTAATTACATGAAAAACTAACGAAATTTGATGAAAATAAATATTTTATTTTTTTGCTTGGTATTTTTCAACCAATTAAATATTAAATCAACATTATACTTTACATTTGTTTTCCGCCGACACAAAAAAATGATGGAAAATATGAAATTTTGTTTTTACAAATTTTTTTTTTATAATTTTCATATTAGAATGACGTGGTTGGATTTTTCCTAATCACACATTATTAATAACACCACTCCCCGCTTCCCCCTGTCACACGACGTCCGGCAAAACAATACCAGAAATTCTCAGCACGATATAACATTTTTTGTCCTCATATTTTAGATTAATAAACTTTTACTGTCGATAGATTCTTTTTATAACGTTTTGGTCCTTGTTATTAGCAGATATTAAAATTAACCCAAAAAAAAAAAAAAAAACCCCGAAACATAAAAAAAGACGGCGCCAAGGTGAACAACAAGAACAGAAGAGAACTAGAAATTTTGTTAATCAAAATCAGAAAAATTTACAGAGGAAGAATAAGAAATTTGGAGACAGAGAGATGCAAGGCGTAGTGTTAAACCCAACCTACACCCGGCCCCAACGAACCCCAGACTCTCCCTTCTGTTCTCGTCCTCACACCAAGGTTCTTTTCTCTCTGGTTCTCTCTCTCTTTCTTCTTCTTCTTCTTCCTTTTTTTTTTTTTTTCATTTCAAATTAGTTCGCTTCGATTCGACTTATTTAATTTTATTTTTCGTATGCTGATAATATCAAAATCCTATTAGACTTCAAGCTTCTTTGGCGCCCGAGTTTCTCTCGCGAGATGGCGCAATCCGGTACGGCGCAGCTCATGTTGTCGATTCCGGCTGATTCGAACTCAAGATGTCACGCGCAGGCGTGGTTAGGAATTTTTTTTTTCCTCAGATAGGATAGCTTGTAGTTGTTTCTTTGAAATTTTGTACGCTGACATGATGATTATTATTTTTTTATCTGTTGATATGTTGGAACAAATCACTTTGATTTTTTCTATATTAATTAAAAAAAATTAACTTTAAAGTTCAAGCTGATAAATGAGAAATAGTATTTAAGCTTTGATGCCCAAGCATGTGAATTGAACTCAAAACCAACTGTAAATACAACTTCTTATAATTTAATTAATGCAGTGAAAACTTTTTTTATTTTTATTTTGGATAATCCTGGATTCTTGTGAATCCGCTTTGTTAATTTGAGGCTTCTATTGAATTGAGGGATACAAACATAAGAATATTTGGTTGGCATGACTTTCAAAGCATGTTGAGTAGTTACGGGAACTGAAAGTTTCAGTTGATAGGTAAGAACCCATTATTAGAATTGAAGCTCTAATTTTCAGGTGTGAACTTGTACAAATTGTCAAAGACATTGGCTGAAATATTTGATCAATGTTTATGTAGTATATTTGATTATATCTGGGTCGTAGTTTTTTTAAGTGGGGCTTCATAGAATTAATAAAGATTTCTTTTATTTTAATATTATGCAGTTGTGAAGGCTGTGGCTACTCCGGATTCAGCTATTGAATTGCCATTAACAGCAGAGAATATTGAAAGTGTATTGGATGAAGTTCGACCATACCTCATTGCAGATGGGGGAAATGTGGCATTACATGAGATTGATGGCGATGTTGTAAGGTTAAAGCTACAAGGAGCATGTGGTTCGTGTCCAAGTTCTGTGACGACAATGAAGTTGGGTATTGAACGTCGCTTAATGGAAAAGATCCCTGAGATAGTTGCAGTGGCAGCAGTAGCAGATGAAGAAACTGGGCTTGAGCTGAACGAAGAGAACATAGAGAAGGTAATTGTTTTACATTCTTCAATGAACACAATTGTTCTTCATGCCCTTCCCATGTACAAAAGAACCTTTGGGTGGGTAGATGGTTTCTCTGATGGTGTTGAATTATTGTCACTGCAATGATTCAGTCATTTCTTATGTTTGCCATTAATTGCTCATACAAAGGAGAAAATGCAGAACAAAAAAGTGTGAGTCCTATGTGGTGAAGGATTTAGGATCCTTATTTTCCTTGAAAGAAAATAAACAAAATAAACTGAGATATAGGATAAAAGAATATTGTTAAAGAACCAAATTGAGGAGATAGTTCTTTGATTTTGCCACCAGTCAATGCTTATGACTATTTCAAATTGCTCGGATGATATTTTGACAGCACATGATTATTTCAGGGTGGTAAAGAAAGAGTGGTAGAGAGGGAAAATAAGAAAGAAGTTCCACCCTCCAATGAAATCCTTTGTTGATTGAATTTTAGAACAACACCTTACTACAAATCAATTCATATTCACTTATGAACAAGCCTCCAACTGATCCATGTATTTGCTAGCACCTAAATATGCTTTTTGGACCAAATTCATTATATTAAATTGAAGGACTAAATTTGATTCCCTTGCTTGACCTTTACACATCTAAACTCATGACAATGGACTTCACATCATGTTATTGAACTCATTTGAAGAATAAAACAATCTTCAATTTTGCATGTCCTTTATTTTTTGTTTAATTCACTGAATGCCCCTATCAATACATATTTTTTCTTATAAATCAATGTTCAAACTCAAATCCTATAAAATCTTATATGAAAATAATAAATCCCGGTTTTCTGGCCATCATGGTGTCAAAGTGAAGAAACCATTACTTGCCAGATAGCATCAACAATATTTTGGTGAGTGATCAACAATATGTCGAGTTGCAAACCAGACCACAACTCTGAGGGTGCTTATATATGGGTAGTTGTAATTGCTTAACTGTGCATGCTATGATCTTTGCAACATAATCCATGTAGTAAATTTCATTTCTCCCTTGAGGTTTGACATAGTGACAGGTGGACCTGTCTGGTTTAGAGAATAGGAAGGGACCTCCTTACAAGGTGGTTCATGATAAACTTATGAAGCTGTTTTGAGGTCTTTGATGAATTTCAGTGAGGTTTCTACCTATTTGTTAAATTAAGGGAATCGAACTGTAATTAGACCAAATATCAAGGAAGGTCAAAAAAGTTTTTCATATTTTGCACTTACTTTATCAAGTCTAAGATGATAAGAGGTAGAAAGGATAAATAATGAAAAATAGCTTACATACATCTGTTCCTTATACTTTTCTGTTTGGTGGAAAAGTACTATAGACTGGAAATCTTAGGTTGCTAGTTTGGAGAGATGAACATTTTTTTTTTTTTTTTTTTTTTTACTGTCCGTGGATATTGTTCTTGATAAGAAGGAAAATTGCATGTTTCTTATGTCAAAGTGTTGTCTTCTTTTGTTGAACTGCCAAAATTCTCATGGTACAGAATTGCATGTTTCTTATGTCAATGTGTTGTCTTCTTTGTTTGAATTGCCAAAATTCTCATGGTACAGTTGCATTGAATTTTGTTGATACACTGGTGGGCATGTCAATGCAAGTATACTATATTTATGTAGTAGAGTTGGCAGATCCCTTGTTTTCAATTCCAAATCCTCAATGATGATGAATGATATACTAAATCATTTCTGTTGCCTCATTTGAAGTTGATTAGCTGATTGCATGTTGCATGTTTGGTAACTTAATCAGGTGCTTGAAGAAATCAGACCATACCTTGTTGGGGCAGCAGGTGGATCGCTTGAATTAGTGGCAATCGATGAACCGATAGTGAAAGTCCGAATCACAGGTCCAGCAGCAGGTGTCATGACTGTTCGAGTAGCAGTTACCCAGAAATTGCGAGAGAAAATCCCAGCCATTGCAGCCGTTCAACTTCTGTGATGTCTGAGCAATTTCTTTTTAACAAGTACGTTTTCTCAAATAAACAGTATTGATAGAGTTGTAAAACCTCTATAAATAGTTGATTAATACACATTTGTGTACAGCTTGTTCAGTTATTTGGATGCCAATAGATGATATTTTGAAACCCAAAGTAGAGGAATTATAGTAATCGAACAAGTATTCTTAAGTTATTATAAATCTCCAATTAGCTCTGCAATTCTTCTGCACTGAGTTTGTAAAAATTGAAAGGCAGCTTGTTTTCTATGAAACATTTATACTAGTGACTTTTCTATATACAACCTTTATATAATGCAGAGTTGTGTATCTTATTAATAATACCATAAATGCAATGTTGGGATCTCCACAAGTGCAGTTTGTGATGTGGTCGTGTCACATTCTTTGTAAGAAAAAGACATTGTGTATCCTTATCTTATAATTAATGTGGTGTTATTGCCAACAATCATATCAGTTAGTACTGTACTTATTTCTCCTTTGGATGCTTTCAGATGAAGGATCATATGATGTGCAAAGAAATGTCACCTCATATAGACTCTCTGGAATTGCCCTTGGAGGGAAATCATGCACTATGAAATTTTTTATATTATAAATGTGCTCAAGAACAGATATAATATTCCATGATATGGGTTATTATATCCAACACCCAAGAGATATGGAATATAAACGCACTCAATTATCACCGCTAAACATTTTTATATTCTACTACGGGTGGATAATAAACCTGGTGTTATTAAAACTTAATTGTTCCCTAGGGCCTAGTGTTGTCGAAATGAAGTAATGCAACTCCTAAAAATATTGGCCCATTCTAAACATAAGGAATCCATCCATGATAGAACAGGCTATTCCTGAGAACTGTTGTGCTGTGTCAGCTGTTAAGATTAAAAATGGATCCCTTCGCTGCACCGTTTTCATTCATATGAAACTTGAAAGTCACCCTTAACACTACTAAACTGCAACAGAAGTTTAAGGTCAAAATAATAGAGATTTCACGACACAAACTATTTTTTTGAATTGAAGCAAGAAGATACATTCTGTTCAAAATATCATTTTCTATATTACGGCCAAGGGTTATAACGAACCCACTTTAGTGATCATTTACTAAACTGGGACAAGAATTCAGTAGCCGAACACCATGTATCTTTAATGTTTAAACAACCTTTCTACTGCACAATACAAAATTCAGGTTCTCAGCTCCTCCCATCTGTAATGTTGAAACAATCTTTCTTCCACAAGTTACAAATTTCATTCAGGCTCTCAGGCCTTAATCACACCCTTTTCTTCCCGTTACCGAGTATGCAGTCATTTTAAGTGTGAAAAGAATCGTTCGCTTCCTTCTTATCATCTTAATGGCAGTACAGTCTAATGACTGAATCAGCACCTGCCGTAAATAACCAGGGCTGTCTTGGATGGAATTTACAATCCAAAACACCTACAATATAGCCCCACCATTGCCGTCAGTTTCAAGCCAAAAGCAAACATTTGATATTTATACTGACATGTTTCAACATACAAAAGCAACCGTTCACATTATGTTCCACTAGATGTGGCAAGATAAAATCACATTTTGGTGGACATGCAATATAAGTTGTTTCATCAAACTGGCATCCAAGGTTAACTTTGGTATATAATAGAGGAAAAGTAAAGCAATCGCACTTACCTCTTCCATTTGAGGTCTTATGCCCTCGGAGAATTTCCAGAGGAACTATGAGAGGATTCTGGTTTAGATCTGAATAAACCATGCCATGAAAAACATATGCAGTACAATCATCAGAGCTTGATGCAAATAGTGGGTATGATCGGTGAAAGGCTACATTTGTGATATCTTTTGGATGACACCTGAGAAGTTCCAAAATCACATCAGAGAATAAGTATCAGATTCACCTCATGAAAATGCAATACAAGTAAACCAAATGCAGTGAAGGCAAAATGGTAAGCTAAGTTTTCTCTGATTTTTGTTGTCATTTGGACTGTTTGTTGGTTCTTATCAAAATCTCTAATTTTTAACCAGATACTTTCAACAGTTTATCAACACAGTCAAACAACAATATTCAACTAAAATCTACAGTGCCTGCATAAAACAATCCTTGAACTTAAAAAATCAAAAACAGACAGTTGTGGTTCACAGAACTAAAGTAAACTAGAAAGAAAATTTTAATTTAATAAACATATTTATTTTTGCAGTGTTATCACATACTTGAGAACTCTGTAAGGTTTAGATGATAGATCCATGTCAAACCAACACAATTTTCCTTCTCTGCTACCAACAATTAAATTATCACCTGCACAGGAGGCACAAATCAGATAAAGCTAATAGATAACTGGATAAGAGTATAAATACCTCAACCTCACCATAAAAAAGTAATAAATTAGAAGTACATTTAGCAAATGATGTTCTTAAAAGAAAATGGACGAGTAACAAAAACATACCAGCAGGATGAATTGCAACTGAGGAGACTTCACGCAACCCAGTCTCAAGTTTTTTTATGAGCTTTTGTTTCACCAGATCATAAACACGAATATTCTTCTTAGTTGAAATAAAGAATACGGAACGTGTAGGATGAAATACTGATGATACAGGAAGTCCATGCAACTTAAACGGGATTCGATGGGAAAGCTTCTTAGAGAGCTGGTGCATAAGAATTGCTCTAGATTCACGTAATTACGGGTCAAGAAAATCTATCAAAATGCAAATACATGAGCAAAATTTCATCCAACTAACCCCACTACCCTAAAACATTCTAAGAAAATATACTAAGAATAGATATGTCTACAAAGGATTGGGCATGAAGACTTCATCCCCACATTAGAAAAGGGTTTACAATGTGCGTGTGTGTAGTTTCAGTTCCTGAGAGTTTATCACCAAAGGCAGCCATGGGATGAATTGTGCAGAAAGTAACCTAGAAGTATCCAATACTCAAAATCATTTGTCATTTAAAAAAAAAGATTCTACCATGTGCAAATAAGAGCCAACAAAAATGATATATATCGTATGAACAAAAAGAAGGATATCGGCTGGCATCACTGTTGAAAGGTAGTCTCCTCTACGATGCCACTCAACTGAAGTTACGGTCTGCAAAAACCCATCAAGGCAAGCAGTTAAGTACTTCAGAATAAAACATTCCACTGGGCTCAAGTCTAAAACTACCAAAAATGTCCAACTAGAAAGAGATCAGCGAACAAAATGGACAAAAGATACCTTAAAATGCTTCAACCTAATCCCATCATGTTTGTCATCTTGATGCCAACTCACAATGGATGCCATGTTGTCTATGCACAAGAAAGACACAGCAAAATCAGACAATATTTATGTAAAAAATATTCCCTTTCATTTTTGGATAGGAAAAAAAGTGTATTCGGAAGCATAACTACTACACTAACCAGAGTCATCTAGTGCTGTAGGAGTCTGAACATGCAGAAGTTCCTTAACTTTTCTTTGGTCTTCTTGATTCCCAAATCCGCTGTTCAAAATCAGTACATCCTGTCCCCTAAAAGTTATTGTAGATTACATGCATGAGTAATATGACCCAAATGGCATATGGTTAAAGAGAAAAGTCAACAGAATAAGAGAGTCGGCAATCAGCCTTACACAGAAACTGCCAATAAAGGAAGCTCATGTACAGGATTCCATGCCACGTACTGCACAGCTTCACCAATCTCCCAGATTCTGAGACATCTACCAGACTCAATCTCCCAGATACGCACAGTTCCATCAGTAGAGCCTTTGCACATTATAAGAAAATATAAGATCTACGTTCTCCAACATCTTTAGCTTATTGTTTCGAAAATGAATTAAGTATTTGAGATGAAAAATCTACACCTGAAGCAATCCACTGCCCCGAAGCATCAGTAGAAATTGTCATAACTGCACCCTTATGACCTTTATACTCAAGATAGCAAGTTGCAGGATAAGGCTTCAGATCCTTTTGACTTGGCAGCTTGGGCTTTAAACTTTCAGGATCAATATTAATCTGAAACACAGAAATACAGAGTCCAAATATAAAAAACTTGAAAGGATTAATTCAAAGATCTTGCAACAAAACCATAAAAGATGATAATATTTAGGAAGATGAAGTAACTCCAACATACCCGCTTCTTCCGAACTCTTGGGCACAAGTATAGATCCATACAACGTTCAAAAGAGTCCTTAACAGCATTCTCATATGCAGGGATGCTTCTAAATGATGTGAATCTGTGCAGATCAAATTTGATTTAGGATGCCAAAATAAACAAGAACAAGCAAATAAACTCACTAAACACTTTCAGCTACATTGTACATTACCGTTTTGGAATAAATTTAGGGCTGTCTTCGTCATACATCAACTGATAGGAGTTAATCTCTTCTTGTGTTGGAATGTACTCAAGAGAAGGATTGTACGATTCCTCATGCCCTAAAAGTCAGTTTGATTAAAGTTTTCAGAAAATCTCATAAAGACAAGAAGGAATTTGCAAATGTAAAATTCAAAACAAAATGTGGAAAATACCAACCTGGTAATTTTGGTTTTGGCGCAGGAATGTAGGATAAACGGTTGGCCTGTTCTGCTGCACTTGAATCATCTCCCCACAAGAGATAGAAACGTTGTTCTTCTTCTTTTGGCTCATCTAACTTTATTAATCCTTTGCGAATTCCCCTCACATACTGAACCACCTGTACATTCAAAAGAAAAAACACTGGACATTAAACGTGGAACTATGTAGCTTCCACAAATTAGTCTCTACTAGCAAAAGCAACCATATAAGAAACTAAAACCACAATTTAAAAGTAAATGAAACAGAGCATCTACATTGTACCACTCTTTTTACTTTCTCACATTATATAGAAACAATAAATCATGAAGCGACTCACCTTCTTACTTTCCCATGTAGACGGAATGAACCGCCTCTTTGGTTCTGGAGCATTTGACAATGGATGTAAAGCATCATCATGCTTAAACCAATCAACATAATCCTGCAATCGATACACAGAAAATTCAAATTCAAGCATCAGAAAAAAAAAAAAGAAAAGAAAAGTATAACAAACTCAGAAAAATTAATAAACATGAGAATGAATGGGAAATACGGACCGGGTAAGGATCAAATTCAGCATGCGGTGCCTTTCCTTTGAGTAATCTACAAATAAGTTTAGTCTCCTCTTTTGTCAGCTCTATCTCCTCATCATTATACTCATCATAAATCTTGCGCCTGAGAATTACATAAATTCACCAAAATAAATCAATTAAGTTTTGAAATAATTGTGGGAATAGTATTCTATGAATTTTCAAAAGATTTTAATTTACACAGCCTCTTCCTCCCCATCTATTGCCACAACATTTTGTCTTCATACTAAATGGATTCATGAAATCAGATAATAAAACTCAAAAAGGCAACAGTGGGGCCTTTGTCATATCCATGATGCAAGAAAAGAAGTAATTATCCTATGTTGTATCATCTGATTATGTCCTTCTAGAACAGATAAAATATATGTTTACAATGCACCACAGAACACAAAACAAATACTGCAATCAGTAATCTATACACAATAAAAGCACCAACCTGGGTTAGGGGACAATGGAAAAAGGATAAGGAATTAAAAATACAACAGCCAACTACTGTTGTGCTTAGCTCAACTCCTTTAAACCTTGAGAAAAACTTCTAAAATGAAGACCTCCTACATGAGAACACGATAACAATAATTAACCTAACTCACCAATTTTTTGAGTCATCAACACTTGCAAGAAAGGAAGCCAATTTATCTTGTCTTTCCTTTATTGTTATCTTCTGGCCAGATATATCATATCCAATGTGTTTTTCATCCTTGTACCACTCTAAGGGAACATCCCCAACTGTATTTCGAAGAGCCACCTAAAAAAATAAAGAGGATGGTAATATGTATATGAAAACAACTAGGAATAATGCTGATTCACTAAGACACCAACGATACAACAAACCTCATCTTCAGATGAATCACTTTCTTCCACCCCTTGATGGGACTCAGAACCGTTGCTGTGATCTTCTAGACCATGATAATCATCATTCCCACTGTCACTATGGTTACCTGTATTAACAAAGTTTTTCCATGATTAATTAACAAAGAAGTGTAATAAAACATCAACTTTCTATTAAACAGCCAAGGTATGTCAAAAATTGAAGTAATCAAGTATTACCCAAAAAAGAGGTTGGATTTTCATTAAATCTTTTTCATATGTTCATAATCCATCCTTACACGTGTCTTCATCGGCTTCAAACTGTACTATTAGTAATAAAAAGTTGGATTCTCTATTTTTTTTTTTTTTCATATATCCATAAATCCAGCGTCATGTTTTTCGTCAGATTCAAACTACTTACTTTAATCAAGAAGTTAGTGGAACATAATATCCTAATGGCCCAAGGGATTAGAACTTCAGATCTCATGGTTTCAAACAAAAGGTCATACTATTCAACCCTCCCCTTCAAATTGGATTCTTCACTAATTGAATCCTAGTAAAGCAACATCCTCCAATAAGTGAGCAAAAGTTTGACTTCATTAAGTTGAGTTTTTCATGTTTCAGACACCAAACAGAAGCACAATAAACGACATCTTGAAAATGCTATTAATTTATTTCATTAAGCGGAACATCAACATATTTATTCTGAATCCCTTTTCCTTCTGTTCCTGCTTCTAGAAACATATTTCAACATTCTATGAATTATTATTATTTTTTAACTATCAACTAAAAACTCAATGTATAAGTAGAGAAAGAAATGAAGGCAATTACCATGTATCTCTTCTCCCGAGGATTCACTTTCTCCATCCTCTGATTGTCTCAACAATTCATAATCCTCCGACACATCATCCTCGGAAAAATCCTAAGTAAACAAGTTTTATAATTAACATTACATGACACAGAAAACTCAAATGAACATTATACAACCTTCACCGTTTAAAAAGGTCACTGGTTCACTAAAGATCATTTTTATGGTAAATAATGTAATTTCAAAATATATAATTCTTTTTTTACTGTGCTTAAATATACTAATATCCACTCTTCTGCAAATGAAGACACGCACTCATAACCATTCATTTTCACCAATTGAATCTTACTGATAGATTTTACGTTTATACTTCGAGCTCAAGTGCCCAAAAACGTTACCGGAGCTGACATTTTCAAAAACAAAAGTAAAAAATAGCAATCACGTCACAAGTTTGACGTTTCTCCGGTACTTATACAGTGAACAAACTTTGGAACTGCAAAATTAGAAAAATTGTATGGTAAGTAACACCTCATAATCAGACTCAGAGCCAGACTCGGACTGGGAATCAGTAGTAGGCAATTGTTGCTGCTGCTGTTTTTTCTTCTGTAAAGGTTCTTTTTCTTGTTTTTCGAATTGAACTTTCTTCGCAGTCTTCTTGGTATTCTTCTTCTTCGTTATTATGGTGTTGTTGTCTTCTTCATTGTGGTTTTGATTTGTTTTAGTCTTCTTCAGCTTCTCTTTCTTCTTCAGTGAGCTTGCTCCAGTAGAGCCCTTTTTGCCTTCTCTCATTGTGTTTCTGTGTGTCTTTGTGAATAAAATTCGAAGAGAAGGCTGCAGGAGAAGAAGAAGAAGAAGAGAAGAAGAGCGGTATTGTTAGGGTTTCAGGGCTGAGAGATATTGGAACAATGATTATTTCACACTTTTGATGGGACGTTCATTGTGGGCCTGGGCCTGATTAAACACTATTCTTTTGACTAAACCCAAAGACAAACCCCGTTATCATTACGTTAAGAAAATTATAGAATGACGCTTCTACGCTCTTTTTTGAAGTGAGGGACGGGCGCGCGGCAGGGCCGGGGACATCCAGCCTGTAGCTCAAACGGGGAATATGAGGAATTCTTGAATTAGGCCCAATCCTCAAAAGTGTTTGGGGATTTTGCATTATAATTTTTTTTTAATTTATAATGATTAAAAACATTATATTCATTTATTACAATGAATCAAAAGTATAATTATGATGCATTATACATATATGTAAATATATTTTATATTAATGATATAATATTATGTATTATTGTATTAAAAAACAAGTATTAACATATAAATATATGATATTATGATTACGGATAATAGTATATTATGTATAATGTATAATATATAATATATTATAATAAATTTTAAATAAATTATACCATATATATTATAATGCCGCATTAATATTCTAAATAATACATAACTTTATACATAATGTATTACATATGATACATTATGCATATATATTATAATAAATTCTAAATAAATAACTACCATATATATTATAATAAATTTTAAATAAATAGTTATCACAATATAACAAGGGTAATTAGGTAATATAATTGAAATAATGATTCAATGAGGGACAGAAAAAAAGAATTATAATGATTTATTATAATCAATCAAAATATCAAATGATACATTATACATATATAACATATATACTATGTATTAACATATGATTATAGATGATAACATATTATGTATAATATACAATGTATAACTTTTGTTTCATAGCATTAACATATTATGTATAATGTATAATACACACACACACATTATACATATATAACATATTTATTATATATTGCAAATATTTATAATGATTTATTATATTTAATCTAGTTTTATTTATTATCTATTTATATATGATTTCATAAAATACTCATACAATTATAATTTGTTCTTGTATAATTTATGGCTTCATTGATTGATTTTTAACTATTAAAGTTAATAAATGACTAAATTGTTAAAAGTAAACCTTACTACAAATATATCTATATATATGAAATTCATATTTAAATTTGAATTTGAAATATGCCATGTGGAATTACCTTGGGATGGTAATTAAATATTTGACTAATCTATTATGGAATATATTAATTCAAATTTCATAATAGATTAGGGTTTTAGATTTGCACTATTTAAGTGCAACTAAAATAAAAATCAAATAACACAAATATTCTAAAACCCTAGCCGTCCTCTCTCTCTCTCTCTCTCCCCCAAGTTGTGGTCACCCATTGTTGTGAAAAAGAATCCTTGAACCTTGCAGTTTTGGCTAGCACTTCAATTCGCTAGGTAATCGTTGTCCTGTCTTTGTGTGGATACCGAGAGTTCACTCTTGTCTCAATGTGGGAGCAATTCGCATCAAAGAAGGAGCCTCTAGACGTTTGTATGAAACCTAGAATGGTTTTATTTAATTTCGTTTTATATGCTAATAATATAAAAATTGTGTATAAGGATCTAGGGCTTATGGTTGTTGTTGGGGATCTTTTGATTTCTGCTACGTAAAACCCCATACAACAACTAACAGTGGTATCAAAGCCTTCTTATAACTTATTCTGTTATTTTATAATGTTTGGATGTATTGGTTTTGAATTGTATCAATTAGGGTTTTAGCAATTTCATAAACTCTGAAAAATTGATTGTAAAAACTGTTATGGCTTATGTGTTGCTAATCTTCCTTTTTTTTTTTTTTTTTTTTTTTTTTTTTTTTTTTGCATAGTTTGTGATGAATCGAAATCAAATAAAATTTGATTTCAACCTAAGTAGGATGCTTGCATGAAGGGTGGTGTATTGTTGTTGTGCACTATTGTGCACGGTAGCTGCAAGAAGAAGCAACGGCAACGCACAAACGTGCATTGTCGCTGGGTAGATTGCGCGCAGCAACACTATTATTGCACACTGCCGTATATGGAGGAGTGATGGCTGCATGCTCCAGCATTTGGCCTTGGGTTGTGTCGCTGCAAACGGCACAACAACAGCCTTGTCTGAGAGCACAAAGGCTGTTGCCGCACGTAGCAACAACGCATGCCAATGACTGCTGCTCTCCTCTCGTGAGCTACTATTTTGTGGCTGCCCCGCGGTGTCTGAGTGCTCCTTACACTTGGCCTTGGCTGACACTTGGTTTTTTAGCAAAGGGCTTGACCTGGTGTGCGTTAAAACGTGCACCAAATCTGATTCTTTTGGGCAGCCCACATAAAGATGCTATGGGCTAATATTTGGGCTGTAATCATGTTTTCTGGCACGATATTTTTAATCCATAATTTTTCTAAAATGTTAATGCATGTTAGAAATATTCTGGAGGCCCAATTGGGTGAGGCCCATTAACAAGGGACTAAAATAAAAATTTTAAAAAGTGTTGGACTTAAATGTGACACTACTGAATATCAAGGGGTAAGTGTAATTTACAAACCTAATCAAATTTAATTTTGATAGTTTATGCATGATATTGTTTGTGAATACGCATGGTGCTTGGTGCATAAGCCTACGAACCTAGTTTAATAGTTTTTGGGTTATGTAATTTTAATTAAGGCTTGCATGTCTTGACTTTCTCTATATTCTCAATTGTAACTTCTCTCTTTCATCTCATCCTCCTCGAATGTAACTTGAGGTTTCTTTTCAATAATATAAACTGTAATTTTATTTCTGAAAGTTGTGTAATGTTTGAGAAGAAGAAGTGAAGAAAAGGAAGAAGGCGAAATTACTTGAAGAATCCATTTACTTTCTAAACCTAGGTTGACCTACCTATTTCTCTAGGTTTGAGGAAATCGGTTTTAGCTAAGGCTATGCACCAACACATTTCCTTAATGCTTAGTACCAACAAGTTTCCTTAATGCTTAGTATGCATGCTAAGGGTGTATGTTATGACTATAACATGCTAACAAGATAAAATTGGTGAGACATAAAATAAAAACCCCTCAATTAAAGTACATTAAGTCAATTAATTGAAACGCCTTCCATCACCATAGGTTTGACCAAACCATTGTTCGTCGGAACCTTGTTCGCTAAAGCAAAAGATACACTTCTACCAGTGGGAGGTCAAACATCTTTGGAGTTTTCCTTCATAGTGATAGGTCGACTTAAATGATGTGTTTTGCTTATTCTCCAGAGCGAAGGTTGATAAGCACATCATAGGCATAGTAAGAGAAGTACACTTGTTATGTATACGTGGTGACATGTAGTGTCCACTCTACTGATACTAAGCATTACACTTGAGGACAATGGTTTGGGCCATTGAATTGTGTAATTGGTTTGTTGGCTTGGTTTACATTAGAGGTTGGTAGTTGGAGCTATCAACATGTGTAAATTAAGTTTGTTGACCTACCTAGTCAACCCTTTTTGGCTTGTTTGCTAAAGCGAAAGTTTGAAATGAGCTAGATGGGATCTCGATCCACTTGGCTTTCCCGAGTTAATAGTGATGGTTATTGGCTTGAGGAAAATAGTGGGAGCAATTATTTAATAAAAGACCTTATTAAATAATAATAAACATTATAATGACTTTTATTTTTCTACATTTGTAGACCATTAAAATAAGCAATACCAACCTATCACTATGATCGATAATTGAGAAAGAAAATAGGCTGGATGGATCCAATTTCTCGAACTGGTATCGAAATCTTCGAATTGTACTGAAGTTCGAAAGGAAATTTTATGTCCTAGATAAGCTTTATTTATCCTATTGAGCATGCACATGATGCCACTCAAGAGGTTCAGGACACTTATCAAAAGTTCCTTGATGATGTTGATAATGTCCAATACAATATGCTAGCATCGATGACATCTGAGTTGCAAAAGCAGCATGAAAATATGGATGCACATACCATAATCTTGCATCTCAAGGAGTTATATCAAAAGAATACTCGACATGAGAGGTATGAGGTGTCAAAGGCATTGTTGAGGAGCTGAATGGCCAAGGGAGCCCTAGTTGGTCCTCATGTGCTCAAGATGATTAGGTACATAGAGAGACTGGAGACTTTGGGTTTTGGTGTCGATGTAAACTTACAAGTGGATTTAATTATGTAGTCATTACCAGTTTCTTATTCACTGTGCATAATGTTAAAGTAGGTGCCCTAGAGCCAATCAATTATTGTAAAATTGATTATGTAATAAATGTTTATTTATCAATAAAAGACATATTCTTCTATATCGTGTATGTAATAATATATGTCCTTAGGATGGTAGAACCGTGATGAGGGTATCAAGTGTTTCAAATCTTGATAGTGAAAACCCTATGATCACATATGGTGGCCATTCTAGAAACGTTCGTAGCCCTAGTATTATTCTGACCAAGGACACAGATAATACAGTAAGACTATTATAGTGTTGAACGATCCTGTCGAAAAGCAGTGACTGATCTCAATTGTCAAGGTTGTTTGCTGACAACCTGGTGTAATGCATGGGTGCTTGCTAGAGGCAAGTTCACTGAACAAACCCACTAGAGGATTTCATATGGATGATAACCCCAGTGTCTATGGAATAAATCCTCTAACGGATGGCTGTGCAAGTGATCCTTAGACTTGAGATCACCGGAGTGCCTTGTGCACCAATTGGTGTAGTTTGACACTAGCCCAATGTAGTTCTGTTCAAAGCTATCAATACGGTAGTGATTGGCTACATTGAGAAGTGCACCGAGACTATGGTGGATCGACAAAGGATTCATCACTCTTAGGTACGGAAGAAGTTATCTCACTAGGTAATTCAGTAAGTGGCAATGACACTAAATCTGTGGCCATAGTGGGATTGAGTTGATGCTCAATCCAATTTAATATTCCTACCATTGGTCTAGTAACTGAATACAAACATGTCGAGGATATCTAAGGTTGACACTATTTCTGTACCTCAGT